TTGTTAAAGTTTTAAATCCAAACATGGTTAAAACGGGTGGCTTCAGCTATGTAGAACATGGCGTCCATGCTCCACCCCGCAAGCCGCTCCTGCTTCGGGGCAATAATGGACACCCCCCGCATTTGCCAGCTGCGAAAGGGGCCAGAACAGAGCTCCCTGCTCCAGACCTCTCTCTGGGGGTCTGGTAGAGCTATCCCGGCAGCCGGGAGGCTCCAGAAGGAGCGAAAAGGGGTTGGGTGGCTCAGAGCGAACCAAAAGCCTCCCATCGCTGCACCGTACCGACTTCCAGTCAGGAGGGGACATTAGTATTTTAGATCCATATTAACACCCATTCTCCAGTTACCAAGACATGAGACATGAAACTCAGTGTTATGTATAGCTTAACCCTTAGTTTCTGGGTTTACAGCATGAGATTGATATTGACTTAACACTGTGTAATCTGTTTTGAATCTCAGTGAGAAAGGCAGGCCATAAGGCTTTTTTCTAGTACTTTGAAGTCATTTGATCTGCTAGGTGAATTACCAAATCTGAACCTGTATGAAAAAAAAAATTAATGGAATCTTTATCTTTTTAAAACTGGAAACATGAACCACAATCCTCTTGTGTTGAATTTCTTCCCATATATTCGATTTCCATGGAGAGGAAATAATGACTGCAGAATCCAGCATTCATTTAGAGTTGCATATCAGAAATAAAAGGACAACGACGACAACAAAAACCCTCCTAGGTTAACCAATATGCATTAAAAAAATTGATACTGAAGAAGAGTGTAATTGTATTTATGTGCAATTTTAAAAAACACCAAAAAAGCAAAGCCTATGGTGTTAATTTTGATTTTTTAAATTGTTGTTGTAGAAACCCCTTTTATGTCCAACACCAATGTAAATAAATAAATAATATATATATATATTTGAGTACACAAAGGAGTTAATTTTGTTAGGAATATGCAGCTAAAATGGTATTTGTTGGATTTGGATTATGGGAAGGACCTAAATACTGATATTCTGGTCCTCTGATACTGTTTTGGAATTTGAGTTGTGGGGGGGGGTCCAGAATTATTCAGTTCTATTATTCTCTATGGGGGACTTTTTCAATGGGGCTTGTATCATATACTTAAGGGTGGCTTGTTGATGGCTTCAGAGGATGTGCTGTTACCTCTAAACATTTAATACCTGCCTAGCCGTGTCTGTTAAAATATAGTCTTTATAAATCTTAGGTGTTCCTGAAAGACCATTAGAACTGTATATTTGTTTATTTAAATATATGGGTATATGGAAGCTCCATTGCATCAATCCTTTGTCTGCAGCTGTACCATCAGTGGGGAAACTACAAAATTCCATCTGTTTGAGAAATTCACCACCAGGTCAAAAAGTTATGCTTTGTTCAGATTCAAATTTCAGATTTCTGCAATCCCAGTCCTATTAGATTATTGGATATCTCATCCTATTGATTGCATTGACTGACACTGTATAGCCCACCTTGAGTCTCTGTGAGAAAGATATATTATAAATAATGTAAATAAAAATAAATACATTTTTAAAAGCTTTTTGAAAGGACCCAAAGCAGTTTACAACAGTAAAGTGTATAATATAAATGCAACAGCAAACAACAACAAACTACATCTTAGGTCAGTTTTGGATTCATTGACTGGTTCATCTAGCCTGAGTGCCATGAACTCTTTAGCTCTTACCATTTGGCTTGCTATTGTAGCCATGCTCAAGCTATATACATGTAATCGGAAGTGAAAAGATGTTTTAGCTGGCAAAAGTGAACCCTAATTTAACTAAATTTAGTAAGGATTAAGTCCCATGAAATCAATTGAATAAATCAATAGCAACTCACTTGAGCCCCATTGATTTCTATAGAATTTACACACATCTAATTTCAGTTGGCTTGAAACCCTGGAATGGTTGGCCTCTAAGGGAAGAAAGCCATAAATGAGGGATGACCAAGGAATCTTTCTACATGCCATTTTTAATTTGATGCACTGATGTTACAGTCGAGAAGACATTCTACATGTATCTTGTGGCAGAGTATAGGGATAAAAAAAGTTGTATGATCATTTGTTCTATAGTATGAATCACTTTGTCATCTTATGTCAACACAGCCTGTCAGTAGCAAAATCTAACATGTTACTCTTTTGTGATATGACGGAGGTAATGGATTACGTTCAGTGCAGCCAAAGGATTTACAGCAGGGGTGGCCAAACTTGCTTTACCTAAGAGCCACATAGAATAAACATCAGATGTTTGAGAGCCACAAGACATGAACAAATATTACACATGTTTTTATTGGAAAATATGCAAATTTGCTTTTCATTAACATTAAATGAGACTGCCAAAATAAAAACAAAAGGGGTAAAACAGATATTGATAATGATATTTATTTGTCCAATGATATTTATTTGTTTGCTAATGATATTTGTCTAAGAGAGAGAGAGAGAGAGAGAGGGAGAAAGAAAGAGAGAGAGAGAGAAAATAGATGAAGAAGTGGAAGGAAGAGAGAGAGAGAGGAAGGAAGGAAGGAAGAGAAAAAGAGACAGGAAGGTGAAAAGAAATCAAATAGCTGGGGGAGGGAGGGATGAAGGTGGAAAGAGAGAAAAAGAAAGCAAATAGATGGGGAGGGAGGGGGAGGGAGGGAGGAAAAGAGAGAGAGTGCAAATAGATGGTGAGGGAGGGTGAGGAAGGACAGATGAAAAAAGAGAAGGTAGATAGAAACAGAGAAACAGAAATAAAGAAAGCAAATAGATGGGGAGGGAGGAAGGAGGGTGGAGAGAGAGAGAACAGATGAGGGGGAGGAAGGAATGGAGAAAGAGAGAGAGAAAGAAAGAAGTGGAAAGAAAGCAAATAGATGGGGAGAGGGAGGAAGGAAGGGGAAAAGAGAAAGAGAGAGAGGTGGAAAGCAAGCAAATAAATGGGAAAGGAGGGAGAGGTGGAAAGAGAGCAACTTTAACTTTAAATTTGTTCTTCAAGTCCTTCTCAACTACTGTTGCACTGGCTTGACTTGGACAAGGGATTTAAAGAGACAAATGCCTTTTCTGAGCCAAGTCAGCCAAGCGGTGTGTTGGGGCTTGGAGAACCCATTTAACTTTAGATGGCGAGGGAGGGGAGAGAGAGAGATTGAGAGAGAGAGAAAGAAAGGGGGAAAGAAAGAAAGTGGAAAGAAAGCAAATAGATGGGGGAAGGGAGAGGTGGAAAGAAAGTAACTTTAACTTTAAATGCATCCTTCAAGCCCCCCACACCACATGCTGGCTAGCTTGACAAAGGGATTTAAAGAGCTAAATGCCGTCTCCAAGCTGGCCTGGGGTGGGGCGTTGAGAATGCATTTAAAGTTAAAGTTGCTTTCTTTCTGTGCTCCCTCCCCCACCTCAACCCTACCCAGGGAGGGGAACACTGACTGGGGAAGGGAAGACTGATCAGGGAGGCATACCTCCCCTTCACTTCCCCAGCCACCATGCCAGGAGCTGCACAATATGTGTGATAGAGCCGCATGTAGCTCTTGAGCCACAGTTTGGCCATCCCTGATTTACTGTGTGTGTGTGTGGGGGGGATTGGGATAAGAATTAATCAGTCTTTGTTCTTTTCTAGCGGCCTTGATTAGGGGGAATCGTAAAAACTGTGCTCAGTTTTCTGGATCTTTGGATTGGCTGATCAGCAGACTGGAGAGACTAGAAGCATCTTCTGGTATGTCAAGATTTCTTCCTTAAAAATGTAATCTGAAAACTTGATAGAGGAGTAATTCAGTCACAGTGGCTTGTCAGTTATGAGCTGGAAATGGAAAGACTGGTTTTATCTATAACACATTTGTTTGTCTACACTTACCTTTGCATTACTGAGATTCTGTTGGCAACAGTATATGAAATATTAAGGGGGCATTAAAAATGTTCCTTGTTCTTGGTTTTTATGTTGTAAATAGGTTTGTATTGGTTGACTCAACCTCAGTTTTTGACAAAAAACAGTTGTACACAGATAACTTTCTGTGGTTTTTTTTTAAGACTCCTTAATGAACAAGACCCTCAGAAACAGGAGGTAGAGAAATGACAATAAAAAAAACTTTAGCTCAGACTGGATGTCATGCAATGATGAGGTTTAATTAACTAACTTTGTTTAGTATGATTATCCAAATTCAGGCCAATTTATTGTTGATTATATTGTATCAATTATTGGGATCAAACAAAAAATGTTCATTTGTGTTAAAGCTCTTGAGCAAGTGGAGATAGAAGAAAAAAAATCAGAGCAGCTGCTTGCATATTTCCATTAAGTATATTATACTAGGAATAAGGCCAGTTGTGGAAATAAATACAACAAGCTCTAGAAAGAGGCTCTGGGAGAGTGCCCTGGGCTTGGGCACTCAGTGTCAGTTTGCTGTGGTGACTTCAGCAGGGTATAATGACACAGAACCCACCATTTTCTCCATTGGAAGTGATGTCTGCTACCTGAAGAACAGTTGTAATTTTGAGTGATCTCTACCCCTCACCTGGAGATTGGCAACAACTGTTACCCAGGATGAAATGGATGGTTTGGAGGGTGGAGTCTATGGCATTGTACCTTTCTGAGGTCCCACCCTCTCCAAGCTCCACCCCTCAAATCTCCAGGAATTTCCCAACCTCGAGTCAGCAACTCTATCTCCTTCCCAGCCAACCATCAACCTACCTTTATCTGACCTTCTGACTTCAGCTTTCCATCTCCTTCCCCCTCCCTCCTGGAGAGCAGTTGTAATTCTGAGTGATCTCCAGCTCCCACCTGGAGATTGGCAGCAGTGGTTCCCCAGGAGGAAATGACTGGTTTGGAGGGTGATGTCTATGGCATTATACCTGTCTGAGGTTCCACCTCTCCTGAAATGTCACCCTCTCCGGGCTCCACCCCTCAAATCTCCAGGAATTTCCCAACCTGGAGTTGGCAACCCTATATCCTTCCTAGCCAATCATCAGCCTACCTTTATTTCCCTCTCACTCTTCAGCTTTCTATCTCCCTCCCTCACCTGCAGCGTGTACCATTCTTTGAAACCCTGACTGCTATGTCACATTGGCTGTCATAGGGGAGCCATCTCAGCAGAGTATAAGGACACAGTCCACCGTTTTCTCCAGTGGAACTGATCTCTGCCATCTGGAGAGCAGTTGTAATTCTAAGTGATCTCCAGCCCTCACAATTGGCAACAGTTGTTCCCCAGTAGGAAAAGTAGTCTTTCTCTGCAATGGGGACCAAAGCAGCTTACATCATTCTCCTCTCCCCTTTTTGACCTGCACAACAACCCTCTGAAGTAGGTTAGGCTGAAAGTCTATGACTGGTCCAAAATCACCCACTCAGCTTCCACAGCAAGAACCTGGGTCTAGTAGACTCTGCTCTGAAGCGCTGACTGCTAGGCCTAGGGTAGCCAACCTCCAGGTGGAGCCTGAAGATCGCCAGGTATCACAAAAGAACTCCAGACAACAAATCTCTCTCCTCCAGAGAAAATAACTGCTTTGGAGGGTGGGCTCTATGGCATTCTGTTCAGCTGAGGCCTCTCCTCTCCCCAAACCCTGGCCTCCGTAGACTCTACCATAAATCTCCAGGAATTTCCCTACCTGGAGCTGGCAAACCTAGTCAGGACTGGCCCCAATGAGTTTTCTCCCAAAGGCCAAAATAGGTGTGGAAAGGGCCTTTTACTGATAGAACCAAGCTTGGTTGCCTAGCAACAGGCACTGAGGGGAAAGTAGGATTGCCAGCTCTGAGTAGGAGATTTGGGGGGTGGATCCTGTGGAGGGCAGCATTGGGGGGGTGGAAGGACTCATCAGGGTATAATGCCATAGGGTCTAACCTCCAAAGCAGCCATTTTCTCCAGGGGAACTGCTCTCTGTCATCTGGAGATCAACTGTAACAGCAAGAGATCTCCAGGTCCCACCTGGAGATTGGCAACCCTAGGGAAAGTCAGCTGCACAGCAGTGGGTTGTAGAGAATGGTTTGATGGCCGCTGGTTCACTTCATTAGCCAGCCAGCCATTGCAGAGTCAAGCAGGAGAGACAGCTGTTTTTGTAAAAGTTAGTCCCACAGGAACCAAGCAGAAGAAGTGTCTTCGTCAGGAGAGACAGCTATTTGGCAGTTGTTCTCACACGGAACAGTGGCTGGAGTGGGAGTGGGCGGGGAAGAGGAGCGAACCCAGCCCCCAGCCAATGGCATGTGAGTACTCTTGAGTGATGGTTGACAGGCCAGTGGCAGATGGAGTGCACTGCACAGCCAATGGGAGAGCTGGAAATGGCAATACACCAAAATAATTATTATATTAAGATTAAGATATATGGAGGAAAGTGCAAGTGGAATAGTCCTAAGTCTGTTTGAACATGTGAATACATGAAACTGCCTTGTACTGAATCAGACCCTTGGTCCATCAAAGTCAGTATTGTCTACTCAGACTGGCAGAGGCTCTTCAGGGTCTCAGGCAGAGCTCTTTCATATCACCTACTTCTAGATCTTTTAACTGGAGATTCCAGGGATTGAACCTGGGACCCTCTATACGCTAAGCAGATGCTCTACCACTGAGCCACAACCCATTTGCTTTTGTTCATCTCTAGATTCTAGTCCATTTTTTGAAGGTTTATTAAACACTAGTACTGTTTTGTATGATGAATGAATGTGGTTTGATCCTGACTTGTTCCTAGGGACCACCATCACTACAATGCAGGTTGGAATCCTGATTCCAACCCAGTCACAGAATAGGCCATATATTTCTGATATGATACAAATAGTTGTTTGAACTTTAGGCTTGTGGGTTCTCATTTTTGTTCTGTATAATAACTCAACTTGTTGGCTTAAATATATAATATTTTACAGAAAGCATGTTTTTAAAAAGCAGTAAATACTAGGGATGGGCACAAACCTAAAAATCCCAGTCTGGTTCGGGATTCGAGGCACCCCTGGAACTGAACCCCAAATCAAATTGAGCCATAAATTCTCCAAACCAGCCAGTTGCCTCATCCAGAAGAAAGGAGGGGGGTTGCCCAGGAAGCCTGTCCATTTCACTTTCCCCACTTTGAAGTGGGGAGAAGCGAAACTAACAGGTTTAATTGCATGGAACCATTTAAACCTAAAAGCTGACAGGCAGACTCACCCCACTATTAGGTTTAAATGTTTCACAGCCTAACAGCAGGCGGGTGTACCGTCAGCTGTTAGGCTGAAATGGCTGGAAGTTCTCTACGTAGAGCAAACAGGTCAAACCTATGCCAAAGGATAATTGGATAAAAATATGATCAAAAATCAGAAAACTGAGAAACCTGTAGGAGAACACTTCATCTTTCCAGGACATTCAATGGGTGACCTCAAAGTAGCTGTTTTATTGCAAAGGAACTTCAGAAACAGACTAGAAAGGAAAATTGCTGAGTTGCAAGCAGGGCCGGATTTAGACTTGCTGAGGCCCTAAGCTATACAAAACCCCGAGGCCCCCTACTGTTTTAAATTACATCAGCTGGTCTTAGAAAAATTTAAAATATATACGCCTTTTTAATATTTGAAATCATTTTTTAGATTGTGTTTTCATTTGAGGCCCCAGCAGATTGCGAGGCCCTAAGCTGTAGCTTATTTAGCTTATGCGTAAATCCGGCACTGGTTGCAAGTTATTACAACACTCAGAACAATGGAATCTCCAGGACTTAATAGGGATATTGGTTTCTTATTTCACCACATTTGCTAGCCTCAGTCAGCCCTTACATCTGTTATTCTCACCAATCCTCCAGAAGGGCCATACATCCTATTTATTTTATTTTATTTCTTATTTGGAATAACAGATTATTATAGTAGATTGTAATGTAACATAATGAATAGTAGAATGTCATGTAATTTGGAATGGTAGATTGTAATCCATTTCTCTGGTCTGGGGACAGGCAAGATAACGCTACACAGCCAATTGCCCCATTTCAAAGAAAATGCTGTATGGTTGCCTCCATACATGAGGGGAGATGGATGAAGCATAATGGCAGGGCCTCAATTACTCTCAGCCTTCCACAATTAAGGATACATCTGCCCATCAGTCTGCAATAATGACATATTTGAGAGAGAAACCTTTATTGGCATAATAGTACAACAATTAAAAAAACTAGACACCAATAAATACATATATACACATACTAAAAGTCTCCACCAAACAGAACCCATTTGGAATTAATAAAAAGGAGGGGAAAAAGATAAATCTAAATATTACAAATTGAACCTTGCAAGCACGAAAGCTCTAGGGTGTGAGGGGTTTACCAAATTAGAAAAGTACTGGGCCATAGAATCTTGTGCAGGGAAAAGACCAAGAAGACGTGGAGAACAGTCTCCAGTGCTACCAGCATTAATAACTTGAGCTTCAATGTCCCAAATCCTCCTTCAGACAATCCAAAGAATATCCATTTCACCAGAATTGCCCAAAAAATCTAGATCAATACCAATGGATTTGATTTTAGACGCTATGAATTGGGACCAATTTGAGGTGCAGGGAGGAGAGCAATAAGACTGTTAACAGGGGGGCTAAAATAGAGGCAAAGCCAAAACGTAATAATGGACCATGCCCTTGATTCAATAAGGTGTAAACCCAACTCAGCGCAGAGAGTAAAATAAGCAACAGAATTAGGGAGTCCAAGTATCCTGCACAGAAATAAAGTGTTAATATGTTCAACGTCTTTAGAAAAACCCTGGATCCACACAGGAATCCCATACAACAGGCAAGATATAGCTGTAGCCTGAAAAATTCAGGGGGAAGCTGGAATAAATTGATTACCTCTTTGATAAAAGTAATACATTATAGCTGTGCTTTTATTTCTGGCCAAAATAAGGGAATGCTCTCGGTGAGAGGATCATTTTAAATTGTACTGGAACAAAATTCCAAGATTTCTAAATGTTTTAACCTGTTCAATTTCTCTGCCCTCTATTCTCCAACAAAAGCGCTTCCAAGATTTAGAAAAGACCAATATTTTGGTCTTATCAAAATTAACAAGAAGAGAGTTCTGTCTGCAATAGGTACCAAACTCTGATAAGAGGCGCATTAGACCTACCCTGGAAAAAGAGAGGATCACCGCATCATCCGCATATAATAAAATAGAAACTGGAACTGTGTTCACTTTCGGGGGATGACCTTCAATTTTAACTAGGTGAGAAAAAGATCAGAAATAAAAAGGTTAAAGAGGGAAGGGGCTAGAACACACCCTCGTTTAACACCTTTGGTCACAGGGATTTTATGTGTAAGGGATCCTCTCCCATCAAATCTAACCTGGCAGGTGTTTGCAGTATGGAATTTGTTCAGTAAGAACAAAAGGCGTTGGTCGATGCCTAATTTATGTAATTTTCCCCATAATAGGGACCTATTAACGGAATCAAAGGCTTTGCAAAGATCAGTAAAAGCCGTGTAGAGCTTTCCACCTGGATGGTGGAGATATTTCTCAGCGAGGAAGGCTAAAGTGATACAATGATCCAGGGTAGAGTGGTTTGCCCTAAATCCAATCTGCTCTCATCCAGGTAAATTATTCTCAGCCATCCATCCATCCAGTTTTTTAAAAAGGTGTTTAGCATAAAGCTTCCCTAAGATGGATAGAAGGCTAATAGGTCTATAATTATCAATGTTGTTAGGGTCGCCTTTTTTGAATAAGGGAACTATTATGGAATTCAGCCAAGAATCTGGTAGAATGTCATACTTGTCAATCAATGTGAAGAGGTGAGCAAGACAGTGTGACCATCAATCGATATTATTCTTCAAGAACTCTGCCGGGATGCCATCCGCTCCCAGGGCCTTGTTAGATTTAAGAGAATTGATGAGCTCAGTTACTTCATCATAAGAAACCGGGGGTCAGTTATGCACATCTCATGGCATTAGATTGACATTAGGAGAAACAGTTGAGGATGGATCATTAAAAAGGTCAGCATAATAGACATTCCATTCCTGCGCTGGAATTTTACAAATAGATTGGGCTCCAATGGAAACATTGAGGCCAGCTACCAAGGACCAGAAAGCTCTGTTATCATCTATATACTAATAGCCAAGTTGCCCCCGTGAGTGCGGATTGCTAAATCCGCGCTCCAGGGGCACTTGGGGGGGAGGTTTGTGCACACGTGGGGCAGTCCCCATGTGTGCACAAAAATCCAAAAAGTTGAAAAAAATTTCGGGGGAATGTTTAAATCCCCCCGAAAGTGACAGAGTGTCCCCTGCGCATGCGTAGGGAACGCTCTGTAGCTGGCCTTGCCGCTGCGCCGCCGCCACCTCGTCCTCAGCGGGGGGGGCACCGGACTCGCCTCCGCCGCCGCCTCGGAGCCGGCCGGGGAGAGGACCGGCCTCGCCGCCTGCCTGATGATGAGGTGAACTTCTCAATAAACAAAAAAGGTATCTGAGGGGGGAGCCTCTTTTATCATCCATCACTTTTTCTGGTGGACATGAAAAAAGCAGTCAGCTGCTTAGTTTGATGACAGCAGGTTTCTACCCAGTTGCTTTGTAACTTGTGTGTTGTCTAGTTTAAGCCTATTTTTCATTCCATGTTAGTACTTGTAGCAGCAACAGTTGACAGATATTAACAGTTTTCCTTATGCTTGGTACTGTTGAACTAGGAGATCTCCCGGAACAATCATGCCTGAATCCAGGGGAACGTGTCTTAATGCAGCGTTGCAAGAAACTGATTTAAGTCTAATGATACTTAATGGCAGGGACTGCTGCTTTATTGGGCTAGTAATTTTGTTTAATTGGGAGGTCACAAGTGATTCAATGCCTCCTAATTCTTACATATCTCAGTTTTATACCATTAGTTTGCTTTTATTATAGGAACATCTTTTACTTTCTCCTTATTTGCAATGTGCAGTAACTGTTTGAAAACATGCTTTTCCCTTGGTGTAATGCCCATTCCAGGGAAAATTAGCTGTGAACATTTAACCATTCCCTAGAACAGAACTGCTTACCATCTTGGCCTGCAGACTGCCAGGTCCTTGCATAGAGTTCCCAGCTATGGGTTTGGAAATACCTGGAGATTTTGGGGTGGAGACTGAGAAGAGTGGGGTTTGGGGAGGGGAGGGATTTCAATGGAATATAATGCCATAGCATCCACCTTCCAAAGCAGCTATTCTCTCTAGGTGAACTGATTTCTGTCACCTGGAGATCAGTTGTAATAGTAGGAGACCTCTACGATGTATTAGTATTGTAAGTGGTTATACTCATTTGAGATTTTCTATGCCTTTGATGTTTGTAAGCCACTTAAGAATTCTTCATCATGGACCAAAAACAACATATAAATATGCTAAATAAAAAAAAATATACAAACAGGAGGTTCCATCATGTTCTAGCATGATCTATATCAGCACATCCTTAAATCTGTGAAGTTGTGAGACCACATTTCTTTGTGAGCTATAAACCATTTGTGGTGATATTCCAGTTAGCTTAATTCATTTCTATTAGTTTGACAATTTAAGCATTTGAAATTTTTCTGGCAAATTACCGCAAATAATGAAATTATATGTGTTCATTATTTGCAAAAGTAAGGCAAAGTAAGTAAAAAGTATGTAAACATAGAATTTCCCAAAAAGAAAGAGCTGCAAAACTGAGTGGCAGAATTCCCCCCCCCTTTTCATTGTATCAACTAGGAGTGTGTGCTCAGTACATACTGAGCCGAATAAATACCTTAAAAATACTTTATCGATACTTTTTGGGTACTTATTCAGCTGAATACAGATCAGAGATAGCTATGCCTGAATAAAAGCTGATATTATGTGCCTTTAATTTGGACACGGCTAAAAGGCATTTAAAGAGACTCTTTAAATGCCTTCCGAGTTCACTCACACAGTGGTGCAACTCAGCAAGTGAACTCAGAAGGGATTTAAAGTTTAAATGCTTGCTGAGTTCACTCACCAAGTTGTGCCACCATGGTGACGCAACTCGACAAGTGAACTCAGAAGGGATTAAATTTTAAATGTTTGCTGAGTTCACTTGAAGTGTTGTGTCGTGATGGTGGCACAACTTGGTGAGTGAACTCAGCAAGCATTTAAACTTTTAATCTTTTCTCTATTATACCCTATAGGGATGATCCCCATAGAGCATAAAGGAGCTGAATAAATTCAGGTTTCCTGAATATTTACCTGAATCCCAATACAAACCCGATACTGGTATTCGGGAATATTCAGAATACTGATATTTTTCTGGTCTAACAGGCCCGAATTTTTGCACACCCCTAGTATTAACCCCACTTATAGTTACAAGAGGAAGATTATTCTGCTTAACTGTTTGCCTCAGTACCATATTGTATAATTATGACTTTATACAAGTAATTAACAGTAGCCTTTTTACTTTTTTAGGAATTCTTGAAGTTTTACACTGTGTGTTGGTGGAAAGCCCGGAAGCACTGAATATTATTAAGGAAGGACATATTAAATCCATAATAAGTCTTTTGGACAAACATGGACGAAATCATAAGGTATAAAAACCACATATTAACTTAGACAATAGAATCTGTGTATATGTAGCATATTGTTATCTCATTGGAGGAGTATAAATTTGCAAGGGACAGATGGAATGGTTTCCTTTTTAATGTTTTTAAGCCGTATCACAGGGCATGAGACATGCATAACCATAATTATGATTATTGATTTCCTAGGTTTTAGATGTATTGTGTTCCCTCTGTGTGTGCCATGGAGTAGCAGTACGGTCTAATCAGCATTTGATATGTGATAATCTTTTACCTGGAAGAGATCTTCTTTTACAAACACGCCTTGTCAACCATGTGAGCAGGTAAAAAATGGACTCCCCCCCCCCCAACACACATTTTTGAACTGGGCTGCAAAATGTGGTTCAAAAATAAAAACAATGGGGCCAGGAACAATGGAGGATTTTCTTATAGGCCTGAGGAAAGCCTCAGGTTTGCCGGAAATATATTAAAAAAACACATGGCGAGTTTGAAAAATCCAATGATCATAGATTTAGTTTCCATTTCTTTAAGAAAAATGTTCTACTGAGATCTCGTGAGAGTACATTGTGAGAGCTCATAAGCTGTTTTGATGGTTGCTAGGCATCCTACAACCAACACTGCTGAGAATTTCAATCCTCCATTCATGTCAGTGTGGGGGGGGATAGGGAAGGAATTAAACTAAAAACGGTAAAAGCAGGAAAAAAAGGTAATGGTGGGCAGGGGGAAGAACGAACAGGTAATCAGGGAAAACTTAAAGTGTATGAGGGAGGTAGGAAGTGAGAGGTTACCTGAAGGAGAAACAAAAAAGGTAGAGGAGTGGGAAGAAAGGAAAAAAGGAAAGAAAGAGACTGCAGGCACTGCCAGGGGGAGGCAAAGTGGAAAAGCGAGAGAGACAGAGAGGATGGGGATATCCTTCCAGTTCCCTCACTTGTTTATATATAAAATGTATGTGGCACACATGCATCTGTAAGCCATTAAAAAAAACAAATATGAATTTTAATGTATCAACAGCTACCATATTCTTGGTCAGCAAGACAGGAAGGTCTGCAGGAAAGGAGTGCATACAGGTTAATTCCTCCTTTGGGAGAAAGCAAGGATGAAAAAAGAAAGTGAAATCCCTTCTGAATGGGAGAAGCTTCTTAGTTACAATTTTTGAGCTTTGCCCTTATGAAGAGAAGACTTCCTTTAATGCTCCTGAACCTTGGTTTGGAAGCAGAGTGTCTTTTCCTCTTTTCCTCCTTCCTAACCCTTCTGGTCAGTCAGAAAGGAAGAGTTAATCAGGACTGCTTCCACACCAAGGATTTCCCACATTTCAGCCTCCTTACTGGTGCTTTATTTCCATGTTTCCACATGACGTTGTCCTCTACTTGCATAAAAACCATATACAGCCCATTCGTGCTACAAAAAAAACCCAACTGCTTTCTTTTAAACCTGTTAAAAATGTATTTTCCTGAACACGATGCTATCAACATAAGCCAGGGCCCTGCCTCACCTTGGGTCCTGTTTGTGGCATTGTGGGGTGCGGGAGAGCAAGGGCATCTATGGTAGGCCAGCTGAGCGGAGGGGTCAGGCTGGTAGCAAGCGCGGGAAGCTGGGGGCCCATCTGATCCAAAACTGGCCTTATCAGCAGGTCTGGGGTGTCCAGGGAGATGGGGATACCATGGCCACTACTTAGGGTGCTGTCTGCCCTGCTCGCCTCCACACTGACCCACCCTTCTGCTCTGCACCACGTGGCCTTGGGAAGGCAAGGGCTAGCACAGATAGAGATGCCAGCTTTGCAGAGGGGGAGCATCCGTGATTTCATCAGCAAAGGCAGAGGGCAAGACAACTGGGAGGTGGCCCAACTCCCCTCCTTTCTCATTTCAACTTTATCGACCTTTGCTTACCTGGGGCACACCCTGAGTCCGGTGAGCCCACTGGGGGTTGGGTGGGGGGCAGAAATTCTGCCCTGTCTTTTACCAGGCATGCTGGGTACAGAGATTGTGGCTCCAGGGGTGCTGGGGCTCTTGATGCTGGGGAGAGACACAGCCGCTGGTTTACACTTCCTTGTGAAAGGGAATGGGATCATGCTTTGGCTCCTTCTGTGGGTGCCCATCATGGGTCTGTTGCCCTTGTTTCTCTTCTTCTCACCAGGCATATAGGTGCAGCCACGTTTTGTTGTTGGGTGGGCCTCTCGGCCCGGCTGCCACTCCAGACCCCATGCAGCCTTTAACTTCCTCAGCACAGTTCTTGGCTGCTTGGGGCTCTTGTGGCCCAGGTTTGCTTGGTGTATCGGTGGTGTGCCTCAGCCCCTTGACCCCCCTGGGTCTGAGCCCCCTGGTCACAAAAATCTGTGAGCCTGAGGTAAAAAACTGTGAGCTAGCTCACTCAGCTTAGAGGGAACACTGGTTTAGAGTAATGCTAGGAGGCAAGTAGGTAGAGGGTTGGGGGGAGTTAGCTAATATAATGGGTAGATAGGGGGCTGTGGTGGGTAGATAGACAAGTGTGGGCTGAAGACTACATTGCATCAAATGATCTCACTAAGACCATGGGATAGAGCAGGTTGAGAAAAAAGTACTTTTCTCCCTTTCTCACAATACAAGAACTCATGGGCACTCAATGAAATTGCTGAGCAGATAAAAGGAAGTACTTCTTCACCCTAAGAGTGATTAACGCATGGAATTCACTGCCACAGGAGGTGGTGATAGCTACAAGCATGGACAGCTTCAAGAGGGAATTAGATAAGCATATGGAGCAGAAGTCCATCAGTGGCTATTAGCCACAAGGTATAGATAGGAATTCCCAGTCTGGGGCAAATGATGTTCTGTATTCTTGGTGCTTGGGGGGGGGGGACTGTGGGAGGGCTTCTAGTGTCCTGGCCCCACTGCTGGATCTCCTGATGGCACCTGGTATTTTTGGCCACTGTGTGACAGAGCGTTGGACTAGATGGGCCATTGGGCTGATCCAACATTGGCTTCTCTTATGTTCTTAGTCTTACCTGGAAGTTTAAAATCTACTGGCACCCAGTTGCGTCATACAATTCTTTTATGGAAGGAATTTCAGTATGAAACTCTTCCACTTGGGCTGTTATCTGTCCCCAGGGTATTCACAAAACTGAAAGTAACCATGATAGCATATTTCAGGAAGGAAGGTATGCACATCTACTCCTATCTGGAAAACTTTGATCACATTTTGTTGGAGACATTGAGTGAGAAAGATACAGTGTGTACCATTGTCTGTGGTTCTCCAAGATAATGGCTGTGAAGAGTCTTGAACCCATGCCTATTCTCAGATTCCTCGTATCTGCTGGTTTGGGATCTGGTATTCAACCCAAATCCAGCTTGACTGTGATCGTTCACCTGGAGATTGAGAAGTGGCACTCCTGCAGGTGAACTGACAAAAAATGGTAAAAGCCCTTAGCATCTTGTCATCCTCTCCTCCAATAACATGTATGAAATATCTGGAAAAGTGTTCCAACATTGGTGCAAGTGTAAATGGTTGCATTCTACTTCAGTCAGTATTGCTGAAGATCTAGCTTTTGTACAATCATGTTTGGATCAGGATGTCTTACTTTATTCACAAAAAGGAGGTACTATACAAAATGTATCGAGGAGGTGTGCCATTATTATCAAATCTCTATCATTCAGTCCTACCTTCTTCCAAAGGAGAAGTGAACCTGCCTGCTCTCTTGTTTGCTGACCAAAAAGGAACTGCATAGCAAGTCAATTTTCTGATTACAATAATATGTAGTCCATTTGGTTATCTCTTTCTGCTTGTATGATTTTTTTAAAAAATGCAGTAACTTTAGTAGTTTTTATAATGATATTCAGACTAGGCGACTATGTGCAACTACCATAAAATAAAAGTTTTAAAAGCAGCTTAGTGTAACTCTGATTTTCTGATACATTTTTAATGTATTTTCTGCTTCTATTCAGCATGAGACCCAATATTTTTCTTGGAATCAGTGAAGGCTCTGCTCAGTACCGGAAATGGTATTATGAGCTAATGGTAGACCACATGGAGCCATTTACAACAGCAGAAGCTACTCACCTTCGCGTGGGATGGGCTTCAACAGAAGGTTATTCACCGTACCCTGTGGGAGGTGAAGAATGGGGAGGTAATGGTGTTGGAGATGACCTATACTCTTACAGTTTTGATGGACTTCATCTGTGGTCAGGTAAGACAGTCCAGATACCTTAAAGTTCTTTTGAAAATGAAAACACTTTATAGGGAACCTTCTATTTAAAATAAAATGGCATATTTGAAAATAGCATTGCTTTTCCTGATAAATTTTTGTCATCATCTGTGTTGATGCTTTGACAGTTTTGTGATTTTTTTTCTTATTTAACCCTCAGTCTTTGTTCTAATTATATTTAGGTTGTGTAGCAAGGTGCGTCAATTCTCCTTACCAGCATCTGCTAAGGACTGATGATGTTATCAGCTGTTGCCTTGATCTGAGTGCTCCAAGCATTTCATTCCGGATAAATGGGCAGCCAGTTCAGGGGATGTTTGAGAATTTCAACACAGATGGCCTTTTCTTTCCAGTTGTCAGCTTCTCTGCAGGGATAAAGTTAGTGCCTGCTGAAGTTTTCTTTGAGCCTATTATTTTAGTTAATATGTTAAATAATTTGCTTTCCTGCTTTCCGATTAATTTAACTTTGGCATCTCACTTCTATGCACAGGGCTTACTCAAAGAATGCAGAATGAGAGTTAGAAGGGAGTCCTGCAGGCAATTTTCTGCATAGTTATTTACATGTACATGTATGTAATAATTAAGTCTGCTCAGTCTAGGTTTTGGAACTGAACCATAGTTGTAAATATCTTGCTTATGTTATTATTTTTGAAAATCTTTAGATACATAGAGAGCTCAGATTTGCTGTTCAAAAAGTAGGCAAAATGCTTTGTTGCTAGCATTTTAAAGGGGGAAATGTATCATTTTAAAGGTTTAAAACTAATAACCTAAATGGAACTGGGAAATAGGTAGAAGTAGTTCAGCACAGGTAAGCAAGAAAGCAGCAATCACCATGAGACAGAACAAATTTATTAGTTGTTGTAGATTTTCTGGGCTGTATGGCCATGGTCTTGGCATTGTAGGAACTGACATTGCACCAGCAGCTCTGGCATCCTCAGAGGTATAACACAGAAAGATGGAGTACTCTCTGTGTCAAGGTGAGAAGAAAAATGGTAGGCAGGTAATTTATATCTACTCAGGAAGCCTTCGACAACATATTAGAACAAATTTACTTTGAAATAAATGCAGCATATCTACGTAACTTAAGTATGACTATGAAGTTACATAAGAGTGTTTCTCAGGGATCAGAATTCTTTAAATTGTTGTCTTGTAGGGTACATTTTTTGCTTGGAGGCCGCCATGGGGAATTTAAATTCCTTCCACCTCCAGGGTATGCTCCTTGTTTTGAAGCAATTCTGCCAAAGGAGAAGTTGAAAGTGGAACACAGCAGAGAATATAAACAAGACCGTGGCTGCACGAGAGACTTGTTGGGTCCGAATATCTCTTTGTCACAAGCGGCTTTCACTCCAGTACCTGTAGATACCAGTCAGGTAAATAAACCTGAGTATGTCAAGCAGCACTTTGATTATCTGCACAGAAATATGATTCCTGCGTTGGCGTCTATATGAACACTAATACCTCCCTTCATATTATGATTGTATAATTTGAATACATTCTGGGAAGGGTGCTGTGAACACCGAGGATGTTATGAAACAACATGTACATACAACATTGGATTTAACTTTGGCCTTTCTGAATACATGGGTTGTGGAGGCACGGATAGTTTCAAAGAGGGCTCAGGGTGACTGGCCATTATGTCCACTGGTGGTCTGATGACCTTCCCCACCCCCCACCCCACCCCCACAGCCAGCACAGCCCAGTGGCAAATGGACTGCCCCTGGCCCTCAGAAGGCAAGGAGGTGATGCCCCCCATGTTCAGACAGCACTGGCACAGTGAGGGGGAAGCGTGGTCACAAGGGACTAATATGGTGAGGGAGAGGAGGTGGCCACTGGCCCCCATACAGCGGAGGGGAAGCAGGCACTCTCCCAGCCCTCACACAGCTGTAGCACAGTGAGGAAGAGGTGGGGCCACCTGGCATTTGCACAGAGCCTGGTGCCTGCCCAGCCCTTGCACAGTGAGAGGGAGGCAGTTGCCCAAGTAGCACTCACACAGTTCTCACTCAGTGAGGAAAAGGCAGTGCCTGGCCATCCCTTGGGTGGCTCGCCTGGCCCTGCCTGGTCAAGGAGAAGGCAGCACCTGCTTGCCCTTGCATGACTTGCCTAACAAGGGAGAGGCAGAACCCATCAAGCTGGCAGGCATACTCGTCCTCCTCCCCTCCTTCCTTTTACTGGGTGGGGCCAGGGGCTGGGCAGGAACATTGCCTCTTCCTCCCTCCTTTGGGGGTGGAGCCCAGGTCAGGTGGAAGTAGGGACTTTTCCAGGGTCGTTTCCTCCCATGCTGGTCCTGTAGAGGCTCAGACTCTATTCTGGAGAATTTTGAATAGGCCAGGTAGTCTCAGTACTGATGGTCAACTCTAGGCTTCGTGGGGCAACCATCTGTTGTACCTAAGCTTTTTTGCCTTTTTTTGTTCCTAAACTTGCAATTTAATCTTTGCTTCTTAATCTGATTTCAAGAGAACACTTCAGTACCTTCCATGTGCATTACATCAATGAAATGGTATTCAGTTTAAGGGGCTTGAAATATTCTATTTTCCATGTTTTTGATGCTGTTTCTGAAGCCGTTTTCCTGTATCGCTCCATCATCTAAAAGACTAAAACTATCTAAATGTTAGAGCAAAATTCATCTACCACAGTGTAGTACTAAGACAAAAGGTGTGCAGGGGGGGGGAAATTCAGGGGTTTTTTGGATTTGAGTATAATAAAGCCAATTTTTTCCTGGTATTCCTGAATATACCCGAATACCAATACCAGTATTGTATTGGTATCTGAAAATATTCGGTATTCCCGGATATATTTGCCTCTATTATATCCTATGGAGTATTCCCTGGGCTGGGGGGGAGGGGTTTGAGGTAGAGGTGCCAAATTTGTACTGTAGCTGCTGGCGCATCTCCCCAAAAGAATCCCCAAGTTTTGAAAAGATTGGACCAGGGGGTCCAATTCTAGGGGCATCCAAAGAGGGTTCCCCCAATCCTCCATTGTTTCCTATGGAAGGGGGAAAAGGCAGGGAGATATAAAACCAACAGCCCAGCAGTTTCTTCCAGAGAATCTCTGTAGTAGAAACTGTGAGTTGTGGTGTGGTGTGAGGGGGCATGTTTGCAAGGCCAGCAGCAGAACCAGGACAACGTTCTAGTGCTAGCAGCCAGTACCAACCTATCAACAGAACCCATTGCCAAAGCTGAACCCAGTGCCATTGTGGCAAATGCCAGCTCAACTGATATCAACTTCAACACAGAATCACACAACAAATACAGAGAAGCCCTGCCTCAGTAATGCCTCAGAAAGTGAGAGGGAGGGGGTCGTGTCTGTCTACTGATCCTCCTCTCTCAGCAGCAGTACACCAGCCATCATGCCTCGGTGGAGGAGGCTTAGCCTAGGTGCGGCAGCCACCCTGCATCACAAGATTTTTTCATTCATGGTGCTTCTGTGGGTTCTGCTGGTTTCTGTCTGGCTGCTTGGCAGCTTTTCTACTCTACCTTGTTCATCTTCATCAAGATGGAGAACTGTGTTTGTACTGCTGTTTTTATTTCAGCATGCGATTTTGGTTTGGGGTGTCTGGTAATGTAACTTATGTGTGCACATGCATCACCCTCAACATCACCCTGTGCTGCATGGCTACCAGTGTTCTGTGGAGGTATTTCTACTGCAGGTGGAATGGATGGGAGGATTGGTGAGGCATTTCTGTGCCAATCAAAATGGTTAACGGCCCTGGCTGCTACTTCTCCATTGCCTCTCTTGTTTTAATTATGGGAAGAGCATTTTGCAACCAGCTTCCCAGCACAGACTAAGAGGGTATGCAAGCAGAAGTATGCGTGCTCATTTCAGTCACCCTCAAAGTCCAGGACCGGGTAGCGGAACACTGACAAGTTGACCTTCAGGAAGACCAGCTGCTCAACTGACCAAGGGAGCAGGCATGAGCAATGCGAGCAGACAATGTTGTCACATGGAGAAAAAATGCGCTCACTCTGCACACTCATCGGAGGGCATGAGAGGAGCTTCTGGGCCACAACAGAGAGGTCCGGCCAGACCGCCTCCTTCATGGCCCAGTAGCTCAGTGGACAGGTTGCCTGTGACCCATAGGGTTCTGAAAGGTACTCCCTCACCACCGCAGCTGCTGTGTTCTCTCTCATGTGCCTGCTGCTCCCAGAAGAGGAGCCAAGGATTTGCTCAATGACTGCCATCTCAACAGTCATTGTGGTGGGATCTGTGGGGGGATGCTGCTAACAGGGGAGGTGGGGGATGAACACTAGTGGAGCTGCTTGTACCCCCTCTCCCTCAGCTCATGCCAATGTGCCCCTCTTGGCCCGCATGTGCTCAACTCGCTGGGAGAGCTCGTCTTGCCATTTAGTGACCTTGTTGGCCCACTTGGCGATCTTGCCCTTGATGCGTGGGTCACACATGGTCGCCAGTATGTAGATCTTCTGCTGGAGGATAGAGTGAAAGCAGTCCTTAAGTCTATCTTGCAGCCTTCTCACCAATGTGCACACTGCTGGAAGCATGTTTGCACATCCTGCAGCTGGCTCTAGAAACGAGGCCAAGTCCTCATGAGCCGTGTGGATCATGGGGATGACCAGGGCCGTGTCAGAGAGAGCATTTCTGTGTAGCTCTTAAAGGGTTTAAGAACTTCCACAAATTGAGAGATGGTCAACCAGTCCTATTGGTTGAGCTGGCTCTCTTCCTGAATGACCCTGCTCTGAGAGATCAGGGCAGTCAGGACTCTCTCCTGCTCCACCAAGTGTTCCAGCTGCCCATCTAAAGCAAGCATTTCAGCAATGAGGGAAGTGACCCTCTTGCTACCCTGCTGTTTCCTCCCCCAGCACTCTAGTGCCAACACCACCAAGCATCTCCATCAGAGATGTTTGGCGTCCCTGCCCCATAACCTACTGCGGAACCCTCAGGGACAGCACTGGAGGTGGTCACAGGATGACTCGCCTCCAGGCACCCCAGCAGCAGCCTTTCCCCCCCAAAGAAGCACCACCTGGTGGTGCTTCTTCAGATGGGTATGCAGCCCAGAAGTCGAGAGATGGTTGATGTCCTTCCCTCAAGTAATCCGGGCCCTACACAGCTGGCACTGTGCGAAGTGGGGATTCTTCATCACCTGGAAGTGCTTCCAGACTTCAGAGGTGAAGGGGCAGCCATGCTGACCAGCAGCCATGGGCCACCCCTGGAGCTGACTCCTGTGAGGAGCTCGGGTCAGACACATCATGTCTTGAGGAGGCAGGAAGAGCTGGCTGAGCAGGGGGAAGGGGGTGAGATGGCAGCACCTTGGGGTGCACCTCTATCTCTTCCTCTTCTGCCTCTCCCAGCCCCTTCTGTTCCTCAGAAGGCCTGCTGGGGCCTAGAGGAACCAGAGCAGTAGGCTGGCCAGCCAGCTTCTCCTCCAGTGCCTCTATAGTCCATGGAGTTATCTCTGGAGACAGAGAAATGTCCACAAAGATCGACCCCAAAGATAGCTCTTGCTGCCCCTCCTCCTGCTGCTGCCCCCCAGCAGTAATGGCTTGTGGAAGGACTGCCTGAGCAGCAGACACCTGCCCAATGCCAGCACCTGCAGGCACCTCTGCTGGGGCCACCCCAGAAGCAGCCTTAGGGAAGAGGACCACACGTGGTCTCTTCATTGCACCACTCGACCAGAGGTCAGAGAGGTGCCAGGCGGCTCTGGTGCAGTCCTGTGCAAAGGTGTGTGTGTGTGTGTGTGTGTGTGAAACCACAGCCTTCCCCCCTCCCCTCCACCCCTCTAGCCTTCTCCTTCACCTTGCCCCCAGGGCCCCTCTGTGTTCTCTTCCTGCTGCTCATGTTGTCCTGGGCCAAACTCAGTCTAACTTGTGGGGGAGCATATTAGGCACCTAATTTACCTGCACTACAACCTGGCCCTAAAACAGCCTCACACCTTTTTATAAATTCTCCCACCCCAAAAAACTAGGTTTTTGTTTCTTTCAGTAGAGCCTAACCTACCCTTGCTTCAGTTTGGGTTTTCTTTTTTTCTTGGTTTTTTTTTTTAGAACTAGTGGTGAATTCCTACACTGACTCTCCCTGACTACTTTTTGAAAAATTGATATATGCTACCTATGCCTCTTTTTTTTTATGAGCTGAAGACAAACCTGGCCTCTTTTAGTCCTTCTAGCACTGGCCTAGTTAAAGGTAGAACGGCTAAATCCCTATGCTGAAATTTATTTAAAAATATTAGTTAAAAATTCCTGAAACCTTTATTAAAAGCCTATTTAACAATGCAGCAGAGCAGTGATCCCACTCCCACACACACAGAGCAGTGATCCCACTCCCTTAAAAAACTCCAAAGTCCCCAGGAATACAAAACACAATAAAACAAAAACTTAAACTGCTGAAATGGATTGGCAACAGAACCACAAAACAGAAAAAAAAAACAGTGACCAGACAGAAGGGCCTAGTCAGAGAGATTCAGTCACCCCCCAACAATAACAATAAACACAATAAAACAACTTTAAAAATTTAAACTGCTAAAAGGCAACAGAACCACAAAACAGAAGAACCAAAAACAGAGTGCCTTGGCCCCAGGCAGAAGGTCTAGTCAGTAACCCCACCACCACACAAACCCAACAACCCAGAAAATATCAAGCACAGTAAAAACAAAAAACAAAAAATGAACTTTTAAAGTGCAAGCAACAGGCTGGCAACAAAACCACAAACTAGAAGACCCTCCCCCCCAAAAAAAACCCAGGAAGAGGCCTAAGAGGCCCTAGGGCCCAGAGGCCTACCCACCCCCACCACCACCCAGGCTCCAAACCCACCAGCCCACAACAAAATAAGAAAAGTTGGTTTCGGTTTTTTTTTAAAAAGTGGCCCTAATAAGTTAAACCAGTGATGTCTTCAGTCTTTTTCTGTTGTCCAGCAAGCAGGATGGATCTTGATCCAAAGTAGTCCAATAGTCAACAGCAGGAAAGCAGGCTCAGAGCAGTGGCCAAAGCAGAAGCCAGCCACACAATCTCTAACCCTGGCTCTCTCAGCAGCCAAGGCAGGAATGGAGTCATTTTTGGTGGTGTCAGCATTCAATATTTGGCAACCGATTCAGATCGGGAATCTGATTCAGTATGCTGAATACCTGAAAAATGCTGAAAAGGCATTTTTCAGCGGTTTTTCGGTTCAGCTTTACCGAATGCTGATTCACACAATACCAAGTTGGAATGTCCAGCATCAGTATTTTGACTTATATGTGTGCTAAGAGTTATATGTTTTACAGGTTTGCTGGAGCCTGATTCCAACCAAGAACATGGCACACTGGTGAAGGGGCTTCGTCCTCCCCCATCCTTAATTTTGTTTTCATAACCTGAAATGGCTTGAGGAAGCTGCTATTTTATCCATTGGAAAACTTATGTGTATTGATGGCTACACATAAGTTTTCCAGCAGAGGAAATAGTGGCTCTCTGTGCCATTTCAGTTCAGGAAAACAGCACTGGGGGTAGGAGAGAATGAAGACCCTTTTCCATGTATGTTATACTCCTGATCAGAGTTGGGTTCTCATGTACTTGGGAAGCACAGAACTCCCAGCACATGTGTTCTTGTGTTTTGAACCTTTATTAAAGAAGAATACATCAGCTTTCTCACAACATGATTCATAGAATCATAGAGCTGGATGGGACATAAGAACATAAGAGACGCCAATGTTGGATCAGGCCAAAGGCCCATCCAGTCCAACACTCTGTGTCACACAGTGGCCAGAAATACCAGGTGCCATCAGGAGGTCCACCAGTGGGGGCTCCAGGGTCATCTAGTCCAACCTCCTGCACAATGCAGGAAATTCACAAATACCTATCCCTCCACACCCACAGTGACCACTGTTCCATGCCCAGAAGATGACAAAAAACCTCCAGGATCCCTGGCCAAACCAGCCTGGAGAACAAATGCTTCCTGACCCCAAAGTGGCAATCAGCATTTCCCTGGGCATGTAAGAATGGACCACAAGAACTAAACACTGAGGCAACCCTCAGTGCCCTCCCTCTCATGATCTGCCCAAGTTCACAGAATCCGCATTGCTGTCAGATAGCCATCTAGCATCTGTTTGAAAACCTCCAAAAAAGGAGAGCTCACCACCTCCCGAGGAAGCCTGTTCCACTGAGGAACTGCTCTGTCAGGAAGTTCTTCCTAATGTTTAGCCGAAAACTGTTTTGATTTAACTTCAACCTGTTGGTTCTGGGGCAACAGAAAACACCTCTGTACTATCCTCTATATGACAGCCACTCAAATACTTGAAGATGGTTATCATATCACCTCTCAGTCGTCTCCTCTCCAGGCTAAACAGTTTATTTCACTCCATCTAATACTAATGTTTACTTAATTTTTGCTTTATTGTCTTTCATACCATTTTGTTTCTAACAGATTCTCATGCTTTTATCTTTAGATTGTGTTGCCTCCACATCTGGAAAGAATTAGAGAAAAACTAGCTGAGAATATCCATGAAATTTGGGTCATGAATAAAATTGAACTTGGCTGGCAGTATGGTCCGGTATGTACCTTTTAAATTTTGTAGTTCTGATACAGGGGTGTCAAACATAAGGCCCGGGGTTGGAACTGGCCCATCCAGGGCTCTTATGCAGCCTGCGAGCAACTAATACAAGGGAGGGAACAGGAGACTGTTCGGGGCAGTGAGGATACAACAACTTGGAGCTTACCAGCTCCTGGCCTTTATACAGTTTATATCTCTGGTACCTGGTATTGCATTTTATGGCACACATGGCCTGGCCCGACAAAATGACATTTATGTCAGATCCGGCCCTCGTAACAAATGAGTTTGACACTTCCTCAGTTTACAGAAGAGCTTCCATGTTATTAATGTAGAATAAGTCGTCAAGATCTTCTCCATACTAAAATGTGTCTATATATTTAGAAAATCATCTAATAGTTGTAAAGAAGAACTGCATTTGTATTTTCAAAGAGGAGAAGCCTGCATCATCTCAGTGTTATATCATACAAGAAGTCCCCAGATTCAGTTCCTGGCATCTATAGTTAAAAGATCCAGCTGTTGAGGAAAACCTTAGGAAACTACATAATATATGTATGTATTATGTGTTGAGCAGCCATCATATGTCCACTACATATCCATTTTAGTTTCGTAACACATTACAGTGAAACAATCTGTCCCAGCATTAAACGTGTAGTATTTTAGCGTTATATGGTATGGCACCTGAAATTTAAGGATGAATTTAAGGATCTATTTTAAGCTGAATATTAAATGTTATTCTTCATAATTTATTTTCAAAATACACTTTTTTCTTACTGAGTATAAAAGTACTTGTGATTGTTTCTTAACTATTTTTATAATTTTACTGAAGATACACTCTATTAGCCTTTCATTAATGGGGATTATCCTCTATATATCTATTTCCCAAGTGTACCCCCTATCTGTGGATATCTAAATCTGCAGATTGGGGCCACACTTGCACTGAACAGGTTTTTCTGCAAATTTGGATGACCACCTAAGTTTGCAGAAAAATATTAAAAGTTAAAAAATTACATGTTTTTTAAAAAATCCCTCGATAAAATACTCCTTACTACTTTTGTTCTGTGGCACTGGCAAAGCATCCTGGGGGCTGCAGTGGGCCTGGCAGAAGCAGTGAAGTAGGCTGGAGGCTGCGCTGGCCCAGAGATGGCTGCAGGAGAGGCTGGGGGCTGTGCCAGGCCCAGTGGCAGCTGCAGGAGTGGCCAGGGACAGTGCTGGACAGAAAGTGGGTGGAGGAGATGGGACGTCCTCCAGTGCAAGTCCCATTGGCTTGGCAGCAGAGGCCCCTCTGCTTTCAAGGCTTCTGCTGCCAAAAACGTTCACCCTCTGGCAATGCTCTTGGAGAGCCCAGCATGGCTCCAGGCCTTTACTTCCAGGCTCATGGTGGCTGTAGGACAGGCCGGGGGCTGTGCCAGGTTGGTAGCAGCTGCAGAAGAGGCCAGGGGCCACACTGGAGAGAAAGTGGGGGGAGGGAATGGGACTCTCCCACGTGGAAGCCCCATGGGCTCTGCAGCAGAGGCCTGGAGCTACACTGGGCTCTCCAAGATTGATGGCATGAGTGGGAGGAAGGAGTGCAGTGTCTGAGCAGCAGAAGCATTGAAGGTGGAGGGGCTTTGGGAGCTGCCGTGGGCTCAGAAGTGGAGACCTGGAGCCATGCTGGGCTCTCCAAGATTGATGGCAGGGGATGGGAGGGAGTGTGGCAGCCCAGTAGCAGTGGCTGCAACAGTGAGGGGGAGCCATGATACTCTTGGGGGAACCCATTCCCTCTCCTAGCTGGCAGTAACCACACAGGAGGAATAAAGTTAAAACGGGGAAGGGATCCCAATGTGGCTATTGCGAGTCCCCGCTTGTACTGTATAAATGTGACTTTATTTTTAATGTCGTTTCAGTAGTCTTTTCAGTAGACAGATTGTTTCACTTTTTTAAGTATACTTCTGAAGCTCAGTCTTTTTTCATCTTGCAGGTTAGAGATGACAACAAGCGACAGCACCCATGTTTGGTAGAGTTTGCAAAGTTGCCAGAACAAGAACGAAATTATAATCTCCAAATGTCATTAGAAACACTGAAGTAAGTTTAATCCATTTTCAGAATGTTTTTATTCTTGCTTTCAGCTGTGTATATATTACATTGACTGTTTTCCTCATTGCAGCCGATGAAGTGGCCTCCAGCCCATGAATGTTTATGGTTTTATTGCTTCAATAAATCTATTACTCTTTTAAGTAAACAATGCTTCTTTTTATTTTGAAGTAAGTGTGTAAGTAGACTTGTGAATATGAACTCTTATATGAAAGTTTGCTTTATATAGGGCTAGTAAAGTGTCCATTTGTTGTGATAGACTGTATTAATCAGTGTTGTCATACAGATCTTGTGCTGCTGGTTTAGGGTTGCCAAATGAAATTCGTCCGGGAGCGGGGGGCTCCCGGACGGCATCCTCTTCATGTGCGCCCACGCGTCACCCGGAAGTGATGTCACACGCTGGGGGCGGGGCGACGCCATTTGAGGGGAAAACAAAGAGTTTTCTCCTCAAATGGCGTCGCCCCGCCTCCAGAGTGTGACGTCACTTCCGGGTGACGCACGCGCTGGGGTGGGGTTTTCCCCGGGCCCGATTCCGCGGGAGCGGGAATCAGGGCTCGAAATCGGGGGGAATTCCGCCCCCCGGGGGGATTTGGGACCCCTATGCTGGTTACTGTAGTAATAGCTTCCAAAGCACCTTTGCTTATTACCATTTTCTAGCAGGAGCTGTAGATGCACCTGTATCTGTTGCATTTGGGAAACACTGCTGCAGTTTAGCATGCTTTCAGAATTTCTTAATATGAATTGCTGGAAACCCTTTATTTAAATAAGACATGAAATTCTGGGCCTCCTCAACTTTTAATTGATTTAGGTGAATAATCAGCTTGGTGTTTGCATTTGCATCTGTTTAGAAGAGTTTTCTTTAGGAAAATCTTATTTATTTTTTGTGCATTGCAGGATATATATATCAGTGATTCAAATATGTATATATAATTGTTTTATTAAGGTGTAAGTTGTAAAATACACTCTCAGATTTTTACAGTTTCAGGACTGAGAACTTCACAATGAGTGATGTATTTTAGAAACAAGATTAAATGGGTATTTCCAGTCTTCTCTCTATGAATTCTAGGAAGTTGTGAGTCTTGCAAATACCCTCTCCATGCCAGTTATATCTCTGCCTTGTGGCATACTGTGTGTCTCTAAGAGCTGTTACTGATTTTCTCTCTCTCTAGAACCTTATTGGCATTAGGTTGTCATGTTGGAATTGCAGATGAGCATGCTGAAGAAAAAGTAAAGAAGCTAAAACTTCCGAAGAAGTAAGTTTTAAAATCAGAAAACAGATGTTTAGACATGGGTTCATTGTGTGGATTATTACCATCTGTACCTCCTAAGGTTGTTGTGACATCAAAGTAAGAATGCTTGTATAGCACCATCAAAAGTTATATATAAACCAATGGGGACAGGAAAAATTCACAGGAAAATTTCCCCAGTGGTCCTTTTTTGTCCTCTAGCTTCTGACATCTGACAGCCAACTTTCTCTACCCTTTCCTCTCACCTGCTCCTCTCATGTTTTTCTGTTGATACTCCTTCTTCCCCCTTCTTCCTCATTCTCCTGCTGCACCCTCTTTTCTCATTCTAATCTCTGCTTACCCGCTCCTCTCCTTAACATTCCGCCTCGCCATTCTGTTCACTCTCCTCACCTCTCTGCCCACCACCACCTTTTTACTACTTTGCTTACCACTCACCATTCTGCCCACTTACCCTGCTCCTCACCACTCTGTCTGCTCACTCTCCCCTGTCCTTGCCATTCTTCCCATCGGCCCTCCCTTTGGCTCTATCTACTCCTACTCACCCACCTGCCCTCCTCTAGTGCTGTTGTCTCAGCTGCCTCTCCAGATTTTCCCCTCAGCTGCTGATTTCTAAGACTAAGTTGATGGCATTGGAGGTGGGCAAGTGTCTGAGAAGGAGCCTGCTCACCCACCCAACCATCTCTAGTTGCCTAAGTCTCAGCAGTCAGCAACCAATAATAAAGTTTTTTGGGGGGTGACTGAGGCAATAGCACTTGAGGTGGGCAGGTGGGTGTGGAGGCTCCTTCTCACCCACCTGTCTCCAAAGCAGCCACCTCAGCCAAACGTTCCATTTGATTGCTAGCCACTAAGAATGAGACGACTATGCTGGAGGAAGGTTGGGTGGGCAAGGAGGCCCATCCGCTTCTTACCCACCCAGCCTCTTCCAGCTCGAAGGCTAGCAGCAGATAAAAGCTGGTGATGTGAAGGAGGCTCCCTGTTATCCTTGCAAACCTGCCTGCCTCCAGCTCTACTGATTCCATGAGTGGGGGAAGAGAAGGTGCCTGGTCATCTTCCGCCCACCCCAGTGCGGCAGTGGTCTGGTTTGGATTTTTTAACCCCCTGTTTTTGTGGTTTCTATCTGTGTGGCCCCAAGCTGCAGAATTAAGTATCTACAGTTGAGAAATATATATATTGATGAGGTTATAAATAAAATCATAAGTTTGAGATGTAGAAAATATGTCTTAACTTGATCTGTATATCAAAATGCAATATATAATATCAGATATTTGCTTCCTTTTTTCTTGAGCAGTTAGCCAAAAAGTTATAGAAAACACTCTGATGTAAGGGAGGGAGGTCATGGAAGTAAAAATCTTGTTTAACTGTAATTAGGGTTGTCAGTCCTCTGGTGGGGGCACCTGTCCCCTTCTTTTGTTTCCCAATGTCAAATAGCAGTGGGAGAAAAAAAAAAACAAGAGCCAATGGAGTGATGTCACTTCTGGTTTTACCATGGAGTTTCTGGTGACTCCTAGAGGAGTATGACATCACTTCTAGGTTTTTCTCAAATGGGAAGTTACGCCATCACTGACAGCTGCCCCCCAGTGCCCCCTCCCCCAGTCTCTCTAAATGTAATACTCTGGAGAAGTCCATGAGGCCATATTTATGCTGATAATCCTGACTAAGAGAGGCATAAATCTTGCCCTAGTCAAGTGACAGTGTGAGAGAGAACAGTAAGAAAGTTAAGCATCATCTAGTGAGGCTTCTTAAAGAGACTGCCTTCATAACTTAACAACTGTGGGGCCAAATAATTTTTCCCATTTTTCTTTTTCTCTGTTTTTACATTCACAATGAAGCACATACTTAATAAGCCCATGAAATAGTAGAATAATAATGTTAATTGAGTTTATGCTGGACTTCTACTGAATTTGAATACAAATGGTCCACATTTGCCTGTATATCCTCCACAATCTCAGTTTAATTTGATTCATATTCAAGGCTTAGTTGGAGCTTCAGACATTTAATTTTATTTGTCTGATCATATGGATATCTTATCTCGCTCAGAGACAACATGTGCAGTAATTACGTGTATTTTTTAAAAAGATGTACTTCTGAATACTAAAGATTTTGTAATTGTACAATACGGTGTACTTGTGTGTAAAATATACATGTCCAGAAGTGTTGATAAATGAAACTCAGCAGAATATGTGCATTAAGTAAATATTTGTTCAGAAGAAATTGCAACCCTTACCCCTCCATCATTTGGGCATCACATATCCCTTGGATTAGAACTTTATTATTAGCACTGCACATAAATAGAAATATGCCATGTTAACAGAGACTGAATGCATTAAGAAGTATTAACATTATAATTAAGAACTGGGCAATAGTTTAGCTACTTGCAAAATATTCTTCTATTTATGCTTTTGTTTTTATTTTACAAAATTTCTTCATTGCCTTTCTGCTGTTACAAGGGGCACCAAGGCAGCTAACAAATAAAATCACGTTTTAAAATCATTAAAACCAACCAGCTCCCCATCACACAATTAAACAATTATAACAAAAGCAAAATACATCCCAAACCGTAAAAATAACAACTAAAACATTAATCAGGAAAGAGGGAATGATTGAGCGAACACCAAATGAAACAAAAAAATCTTCAGCTGTTGATGAGAGATGGCCACATAAGAGGACAGACAGTTTTGGTGCCACTACTGAGAGGGCCCTCTCCCTGGTTGCTATCCACCTAAGGTGAGGGCACTTGAAGTAGGGCTTCAAAGATGACTATAGTGGTTGGGTGTGTTCATAAGTGTTCTATGAATATTGATAATATTGATTGTGTGTTCCCAAGCCAAAAGGAAAAAAAAAAGAACACACAATTGAAGCTGCAGTAAGGAGGACGTTCTTAGGTATTTTATTGCAAGGAAATACTGGAAAACAGTTAGGCCAAAATAGCCTGTCAAAAAATTAACTGCTTTCTGAACAACATAAGGAAGTACATGAAATTTTATACCCAAAATGACACAGGCAGAAAATAACATACAGAAATCATAATGATTACAAATGGTAGAGCATCATTTGAGTAGGCATACATTCATTGGTCAGTTACAGCAAAAGGTGTGACTATATGATATTTTGTTGACCCAGACACTGCAAAGTTTTACCCTAAACAGCTAAAACCATGAACTCTATACTTTGAATAAAAAGTCAAGCAAATACATCTATTAATAAGCCCATCCTCCACTCTACCAGCAATGCTACACTGTAGGGCTATTAGAACTGCCAGACAGCTAGATAGCTATTCCATCCAAACAACTTGATAAAAACGAATGTTCATGTCTGCTAGCATCAGCTAAAAGACACTTTAACCTATAAAGGAGAGGCCTTACAATTTATATATTCCCATCCATGCTACATAAGGGAGTAGGCAATTATTCAGGTATGTTGGTCCTATAGGATGCCAGAAGAATGCCAGGATCGATGGTATTGAAAGCCACTGAGAGGTTCAGAAGAATCAACAGAATTGCACACCCTCTGTCCCGTCTCCCAGAACAGGTCATCCACCAGGGTGACCAAGGCTGTTTCAGTCCCATTACAAGGCTTAAAATCAAACTGGAAAGAAACTAAACCATTTCCCTAATCCAAGAAATCTTGAAATTGTCCAGCCACCTTTCAGTTGCCTGATGGGTTGATAGTTACTGAGATCTCCTGAGGTCAGGGTAGGCTTTTTTTGAAGTGGATACACCACAGTCTGTTTCAAGTCTCTCCCCCCCCCCCAGCAGATTTAAATCGCCAGGAAGGGCATGGGTCATACAAGTAGGTGATAGGCATCAAACCTCCAAGGACCTGTCCACATCCTCAGACTGAATAAAGTGAAAAATATCCCAAGCCACTGGACTGTTTGGCACCCTGGCACTATCTGACCCTGTCAATGCTAATGTGGAGTTCAAGTTAGAATGGATGGGAGATAATTTATCTGCAAAATTCTGAGCAAAATGGTCACGCTGAGCCATTAAGCAGCCCACCTTTTCCTTCACGCCAGATCCCAACAGGCCTCTGACCACCCAAAAGTGCTCCACTGGCCTACACTGTGCAGATGCAATAGTGGTGGAAAGTGTTGTTTCTTTGCCACCATCACCCCCACAGAGTCTGCTTTAAAGTGAGCTTTCACCCATGTCTTATCAAATCCATCCCAAGTCTTTCTCAACTATCACTCTAGCAATCTCCCATGTTTTCATTATCCATAGCTCCTCAGTAAACCAAGGGGCTACCTGGGCTCTAACAATTCAGAGAGCACTGGCGTCAGTCACTCATGTCATTTCCTCATTCTAGAGGTCAAGCAGGGTATTGACAGGAGCCCAGAACATATCTACAAGAAAATCCTTTGAGTCATCAGAAAGCCATTCAGATCCTTCTGGCTCTGGAGGTGAAACATTTTAATATTTTATTTTTTATTATTTATTTTATTGGACTTGTATCCCGCCCTCCCTGCAAGCAGGCTCAGGGTGGGTTTCATCGGTATTAATACAATTAAAAACAACTTTAAAACAACAAATTACAACAACATAGATCATAAAACACGATGTAAAATTTGGTCAGATGTCTCAGCAATTCAGATGTGACAGACTGTGGGTTCTTAGATGGCTATTTTGATAGATCCCTCATCCCTGCCCCTGCAGATTCTTGGTATCTCTGCAATTTATTTAGTTATGTATTTATTCATTTAATTAAAGTTTTATGCCACCTTTCCCTGTGAGTAGGGCTCAGGGTGGCTTACAATAGAAAGGAACACACAATAAATAACTAAAAGTTTAAAACCTACAGTAATATATATAGAGCACATATCAGCAAAATTCAATTCCTTCCAAGAGGGCAAAAAAATCTAAGTCTAAATCTGAGCAGATAATGATCTGTGTAGGACAAATTATTATCAGTTCCTCCACCCTCAGATCACACTTGTAGTGTATTCAAAGCTGCCTTGAATGCATGATATGTTGTGAAACATCTAATTGAAGTGTAATGTAAAGCTTCGTCCTGGGCTAGGATCCAAATCCATCCAATCGTGTTACTAGTCCAGGAAGCACCTAACCAATCACTTTCAAGCAAGCTCCCTGAGCGGGAACATCCGTGATTGGTCCTTATGTGAACAACCTTATTGGTTGGTATTTGTATAGTGGGTGTGGCTACATTAGCCGGGAATGTTTAAAAGCAGGACAGCTGCAATGTAAAGGCTGTTCTGGCTATCAGATGTTGATCCGTGTTGGAGTTGTGTTCGAGTTGAAGAATAAAGCTGTGTTCTTGCTGAATCACTCTCCGACTACTTTGTTAAGCGAGCGACTTAACAACACTCTTCCCACGAAGAACAAAATACCAGATTAAGAGTGTGACCTGCACAAAGTGTAGGACCAGTAATTACCTCAGACAATCCTGTTGCTGTCAGGAAGGCTATGAAATCCCGAGCTGCTCCTGACAAGAATGTTAAAGACCCCCAGGACAACCAGCCTAAGGGTCTTCCATACCAGTCCTGAGACTATCTGGATCAGCTCAGGCAGGGAGACTGTTGGGCACCATGGTGGGTGATACACCAAGATAATCTCAATCCTGTCTTTCAATCCCAACATTAGGTCCGCAGTCTTAAAATTGGTAGTGTCCTGGATGAAGCACCATGCTAGGAGGATAGAGTCCTTAAAGACTACAGCAACACCACCTCGCCACTCACCCGACCTGTGCTGATGTTTCATTAAGTACCCTGGGGGACACAGTTGGAAGAAGTTAACCTCTCCTCCCTTCCCTAGCCAAGTCTCCATGATACATGCCATGTTAGCCAGGTCAGCCTTCTGTGGTTTCTACAGTGACTGACCTGACATTTAGCAGCAAGATTTTACTATTACCTGGTATGTCGTTGATATGGTTACCAGCTTATCTAATTCCCCACCATATAGCAGGTGTTCCCAATCTTATTGAGCCTTTGGGAATTTTGGGAATTTTGAGAACAGGTAGTGGGCACCACCACTAAATGGTTGCTATAGGATCTGAGGTCAGTCATAAAACAGCTGTTTGGAGGGTGGGGTATTAAAAATTTTTGGATCTTATCGTGGAGGCACATGCTACTAAATGGATGTTTCCTGATGACACATGTGATATTGCCTGGGTTCTTCTGAGGCATCTCCAGCTCCAGTAAGGTAGAGGAAAGCCAGGACTGGCTCTGGAAAGAGATGCTTTGAAGAAAAGCAAATAGATACTAGAGAACCCATTGGCAGGCACCATAGTACCAACAGGTACTACACTGGCCATTGTTCTTATATAGAGATATCTTTGAAGCATTAACTGATCATGTTAACTGATGTTCAGCTATGATACTGTCATAGAGTGTTGCTAATTAACTGTACAAGAAAACTACTGAGTGCACTGAGATGAATATGTCATTCTAATTCAGTGAATAACATTATGTTGTAATAAACAGATTATTGTTATAAATGATGATGTTGCTTTGATAAATACTTACAGAAAAATACATAAAAGTAAACTCAATTTTGTGTTTTCCCCTTTTGTTAGTTACCTGTTGTCTAGTGGATATAAACCTGCTCCCATGGATTTGAGTTGTATAAAGCTGACACCCTCTCAGGAAGCCATGGTTGATAAACTGGCAGAAAATGCCCATAATGTATGGGCAAGGGATCGTATCAGACAGGGTTGGACTTATGGAATCCAGCAGGTAAGACCAGAAACGTCTGAAAATTCATTTACATCTGCAAATATTATGGACTCAAATTAGTATTTTAAGGGTAGTAAAGCAGCTAAATATTACTTTTTTATTTGGAGCTTGGACAATTTTTTCTTGACTGTATAAATGTATTTCTAGTGGTAAAGATATTTCTATTGCATTTAATGGATGTGCCTTGAACTTCAGTTGTTTAACATCAAGTAGTCCAACTGAAGTCAAGGACACTATATTATAATAATTAGTTTGTGAATCATGATCTGATTTGGGTAAGTGTGGTGGGTTCCTTGGGAGCAAGTAAGGATAGGTGCTTAGAAAAAGGCCAAAGATGTTGCATGTTCATGTCTTGTATAGGATATATGGATTGTCTTGTACCTCCCATATGTAGGAAGATATTGATTTGGGATGGGGATTAGACATTATATTTCCAGATTTAAATTGTAGCAAACTTATTTTTTTGTTGATGTTTACTTCTAGTAAAAGCACAGGGTGCAATAATGTGAAATATTTTCACTGTTTCTATTTAGCTTACTTTTGGTTGAGGAAACTGCTTTTAAGGCTGAATAAATTATTCAGACATGAACTATGTATGATTATGGCTGACCATCCCAGTCATACCTAAAACTAGGGGTGTTATGGAAGCATGATTTAAACCTCTAAAAGGGTGCCAGGCAGAGGGTAGTGAGCCCTTCTTCACTCATTGCTCTGATCTCCACAGTTTACTCCAGAAGGCTTTTTTCCACCAGCTGGTTTCCATTACTGGAATTGAGCCATGCTAGCAGAAAAGCTTTCTGAAGAGAAAGATGGTGGTTCAGCACCTACTGCCTTTCCACTCCTTTGGTAATTTCAGTCACATCCCTACTTCCAATGTGACTGAGGCAGACTAATTTTTGAAGACCTATGACTGTCATGTGTAGTACCTGGAGCAGTCTCAAAGGAATGACATACACCGTTTATATATGTGTGTGTAACATATGATGGATTATTGTGAACACAAATTTAATCCCTCTCAGAAAGAAAAACAAAACCCAAACCCACTGAAGTTGTGATGACAACTCAAGTCACAAAATGTGTGACAAATATTTATCAAACTTATATAATTTAGTAATAATAATATAATAAATAAATAAATAATAATAAGCATTTTCTATGCTGCCAGAAGGTACAGTAGCATTTCACAGTGGGCAAATTTGTTTTGATAAATGTGACCTTTGGAATAGAATCACCTCCATGTTACTGACAAGTCATTTCCAAAGCATAATTAAGCTTTTTTGCATTAACAACCATTAATCACTATATTTTTCTTTTGGTTTGGAATCTAAGACTCACAAAATATAAATGATGGATTTTGTTTTTGGTAGTAACACCATAATTTTTCATTAACATTTTGTATAGATCTTGGAATTTGTCACTACTTGTATATTTATCTTTACAATATGGTGATAAAAACTTCATGCATTTTCTTATTTTTATGAACAGTATACTTTTTATAAAGGTTCACTTGTATCATGTTTGTTATATCATGTTTATGTTTATGCTGTGTATTTGTAGGACATTTCATCATGCACTTTTGTCATAGCTGGTTATGGTAGGGCTTTTGGAGCCATTGGAAATATCTCTGCATTATGATGCTACTTCAGTTCTCACTAAATTCAGAGGCAGGTGGGAATTAATGTTCCCTCTCCGAACTACTAGTTGTTTTGTGCAACTGGTTCCTTGTGACTAGAGCTAAACCAGGGCCAGATTGTATGTTCAAGCTTAAGGAGGTTGTGAAAAATGTACTAATATGTTTGCTATTAAGTCAAGCAGATATTTTAAAACATAGTAGTACATTTTAAACCAGCATTAGTATAATTGTATGGACTCAGTACCATGAATATAATTGCTCCCAAACTGGTGAACAAATACACACAAAATTAATTCAATAGTTTATGTATTTAATGAAGTGCTGGCCTACAGTTGTTTCCAACAGCACCATAAGGGGAGAACCTCATTACTTAATTTGTATTCATCTCAATGAAAACACTTTTAATTTTCTAATAGATAGGGATACAGTGCAATGCACTAGAACAATTGATTGTTCAATTAGAGCACAAAGCTTGCAGTTTTCAGCCTTTTACTTGAAATTTAGTACCAAATTGTCAAATATTACTTGTATTTTTGATGAAACTAGGTATATACCCGTTCATCTCTGAACTTTCTATTTTGCATCAACCGCTTGCTTCACTACTGTTTACTGTTCTGGCTAGGGATGAATGAATTCCTCTAGCTCTATTCCAGTTTTGATTTCTGACATCTTTAATCCATTGGTTTTGCTTTGATGATCTTCTGTTGAATTTCAAGAACTTCAAGGAGGAAAATTATAGTTTCCAGACCCCACAGTGGAGGTGGTTCCCCGCCAGCAGGCCCTGCCCCCCAACCGTCAATCAGCTGACTGGCAAGGGGACTTACCCAGCATCACATAAGAAGTGGCATCATCACATCAGTGACATCCAAGTGAGGCTTTGGTATTTGAGCAAAAACTCTATGGTAGAAGCTGGTTTTACCATAGAGCTTTTGTCCAGATACCAGAGCGTCACCTGGACATCGCTAGTGTAATGATGTCATGTTCTCCATGATGCTGGCGATGAGGCCTGGGACTTCCTCTTTCTCCAGATAAGTCCCCCCTATCCCTTGCTGGTTGCCAGAAGGGACAACCCTGGCAACCCTAAGGAAAACCCAAGCATGAAAGAGAGAATGCTCATCCCCATTTTCCAGGGTATCCATGGTCTCCACAGAGAAAGCGGAACACCACAAGCATTCACTTCTATGAGCCTAAGAACCAAAAATTCTGGGGGAAATCAATGAGTTGCAGCATAAAAATAACATGATGAAAGAAGACCAAAACTATTTATATGTAAAATATCCAGAAGTTTAAAAAAAATGCATTTCAGTATACAAAGGTGGTAGTTTTGAAGGAGTTTTGGTATATCTTTTTTTTTTTGGTTCTTTGTATCTGTTTTGCAACAAACTAGTATGCTTTCCCTGGGATCCCTGTATCTCAGGATTACAAATATGTGTATCAAAGGGACTTTAAAGAAAAAAATTCCTTAGTATTCCCCATGTGGTTTGATATTGCTGATCAGATTTCCCAGAAAACAGGTTTCTGTTTGAACAGAAATCCAATGGAGAGAATCAAGATACAGTTCCAAAACCTGCTGTAATAGAATTTGGTGGTCAACCTCAGTTCTTGCAAGAGCTTATCTAATGCACTTTTGTTTTTACTGTTTTTTTTGTCACACAAGTTCAACCCATCAATAAAGGTTTCATCTCAGTATATGGTCATGTTACAGCAGTAAGTCTTTATGTAATAACATAGGAAGTATGTTGGTATCCTGAACCTTTCTGTCAAAAGGATTTCTTTGTTTCTTGAAATTCCAGAAGTTCTACTGCCCATCTAATTATTGATGGCAGTTTTTTAAAACTGGCAGACTCTAACTTTAAGTTTCTTTTTAATACAAATATAAAAATAATTCTGCATATGTTTTATTTGTACTGTATACTTCATTTTATAAGAACACAAGAAGAGCCCTGCTGGATCAGACTAGTGATCCATGTAGTCTAGTATCCTCTTGCTATGGAGGACCAACAATAGGGCATAAAGGCCAAGACCTTCCCCTGATGTGGCCTTTTGGCACTGCTATTTAGAGGTTTAGTGCCTCCAAATGTAGAGGTTTCCTTTAGTCACTAATAGACCTGTCCTCCATGAATCGGTCAATCCCCTTTTAAAGTTGAATTAAATTGCAAAGAGATACAACAAAAGCATTAAGGTCAGGAAGTGGGCAGAAACTAGAATTACTTTTATCTCTCAGTTATGTGGAAACTGGGAATATTTGCTAAGCATATATATTTTTAAAATTTTTATGACTTGGAATCTCTTCCAGTAATGTTGGCTATCTAGTGTCAAGAGGACAATATGCTACCTGTAGTTAGAGGCATTCTTCAATTTTTTCACAAATTCACCTTGCTGTTCAAAGCAGCTGTAAAATCTGGTGAGTCGAGACATACATTTAAGCCTAACAGACTAAATAAGTGAAACAGTTGTATAGAAGATGTTAATTGTTAACAAATTATTGATTAATGTTCTGTCTTAGTGTTTCGTTTGCATTTCATTTTTCATTGTCTAGCAAATTTTAAAATAATTAGAGGTATTTTGTACTTTGGGCAAATCCCTATCAGCTAGCTGTAGAACAGGGACAGCAATTGTAAGCATCCTTGAAGGAAAGTTTAAAAAAACAAACTTATTTTTATTAGAGTTTTAAATTTACTTGTAATTCAAATAAGCTTCCGGACGTGCATAAAATGTACTTCTATTGTGTCTTTTTTGTGTGTCCAAGCTCTAAAAACAAATTGTAGCTTACAAAACTGAGTAGATGCCACTCTAACTATATTTAAGAATCATGGGAACTGTGGACAAGCCCAGGAAAGTTCTGGAACCTTGAATCATTTTTTGATTAGGTAAAACTGGCAGTGTCATTGTTGTCAGTAACTCCATACCATGTTTTCCCGCTGACTGTTTCTCTTCCCTCCAGTAGCTGAGGGTGAAATGGTTCCTACTGTACATTAGGGCATTGCCTGGGGCTAAAATGAGTAGATAGTAGACATTTTCAATAATATATATATATATTATTGTTTTGATCATATCAGTTTAATGAGGTAGACTAGACTAACATGCATCTTGTATAAATCATATCATTTTAGAGTCCATGTGCTATATGTTAAATTATGTCATTTTTAGAACTCATATTCCATAAATTATATTTTAGTGACCCAGGCTGCCTTCTTCTGAAGCAGTCAATAGGTTTTTCATTTTATTTTAGTAGATTAAAACATTGTATACACACATTTTCCTACTTTTTTCATTCATGCTGATTTTTGCATTGATATCTACATCCATTGTACTATGGCTGCATGTATAAAGTTTCCAAGCAAACCTCTTTCTAGTAACGTCATCC